ATTTGCAAACTATGTGACTTTGGGCAAGTCACTTAGCTTTTCTGGGTCTCAGTTTCCTTACCTGTCAAGTAAAGGAATTCTTTTAAATGATCTTTGAAGTCCCTTTCTAGCTCTGAGTTCTATAATACTTTGCCCCCCTTCTTCGGACTCCTTGAACACTTATTACTTCTATTAGTTACCTTGGTATTTAAGCAATTACTGTTTTGCTTTGTTCCTTCTCCAGCTTGAATGCGACTCTTGGAGGGCAGCCACTATTTCTTACATTTGGTTTTACTTCTTTCAGCATCCAGGATAGGGTTACACAGACTCATAGAACATTTGAACTATAGGGACCTTACAAGTTTAACCCCTTCATGCCCAGAGAAATTAAATGACTTGCCAAGGTCATTTACCTTGACTCATTAGTGGTCAATATTTGAACCTAGGTTTCTTGATGCCAACCCTAGCCATCTATCCATTATTATATCACCATGCCTCCCTGTAAGAGGTATTCAATAATTCTTTGAATGAATGAAATAATGAATGAATGAAATCAAACTAGAAGATAGCTTCTATGGATACAGTTCTTGAAACAACCCAAGAGCTGTGGCTCCAGGATAAAGTCTTCTATGGCGACTTATATGGCTAAAGGCTCCATTTCAGAAAACAAATTTTTCAAGGCACACTAATTTTCTCACTATAAATGAGATGTGAGAGTGGCAAGGAGTTGGTAGAACTTAACTCTTCAGCTTTCCTTCTGGAAATACAGGCTAAAGAAGGTAGTCAACTAAAAGAAGCAGGTATCAAAGCCCCATAGAAGAGTGGAGCTGCATCTCTTTGGTCATAGAGTTGTTTCACCTTTTCAGAGATACTAAATCATTTCAAGATAGTATGAAACTCTCCAAATTAAAGGAAATATTAGTAATAGGAACAGTGAGGGAAAAGGGAGGATACACACACACACACACCCCACTTAAAAGACAAGCTAGTAAAAAATGAATGTGATTTGAGAAAACTAGTGATAATTATAGTGCCCAAAGTTGGGCCCTTTTCTTAGCTAAAGCCCTATTGATGATACTCGAGAAAAGGTGCCAAGTTTTGACTACATATTCTCCTGCTTCCGCTGTGCTACTAAATTTTAAAACCACAAAACTTGAGAATTATAGAGCTGAAAGAGACCTAAGAGATCATTTTTCTAGCCTAACTCTTATTTACCACTTGATGAAACTGGGTTCAATTAATATATCTTAACTAAATTTATTATTTGTTTGAATTCTTCACTCTAAGTGATCCCTTTTGCCAAATGCACAGGTGTGACCTGGACAGTCTCAGTTTCCTAATCTGTAAAATAGGAATAATAATATCTCTGTTGTTGTTGTTGTTCATTCTTCATGACATGACATGCCTTGACTTGCAAGTGAAATGAGTTTAAGTGAGGCAGAGCTGTGCAAAGTCATCGGCTTCACTCTCTCCTCCTGAGTTATCGGAATCCAGTGTCAAGACAAGAGTGGAGAAGATTGGAGATGACCCAGGATGCAGTGGGTGACCTTGGCCTTTTTAAATTAAGGTTTTTTCCAGGTTTCAGTTTGTCTGAAGCAATGCCCATTCAAGGACTAAGAGCTAGGTGAGAATTGAGACAAAAAAGTGTCCTAGTTTATTGTCACAAAAGTATTAATCTGGGAAGGGTAGATCCTCAGAGTTTCTGGCCAGAACAGAAAACAATCACTATTTGCTCTCATTCTAAACCAGGGGTGGGAAATCTTCAGCTTTCAGGCCACATGTGTCCCTCTACATCCTCAAGTGTGGCCCTTTGATTGAATCCAAACTTCACAGAACAAATCCTCTTAATAAAAGGATTTGTTCTGTAAAACTTGACTACATTCCTTGTCAGAGTTAAGTTTAGAACAGAGATCTTCTTACTGTCAAGCCAATGATCTGTTACACCACATTCCTGGTCTTCAGCAGCATAATATTCTGCTTGAGGTGAAATGCCATTTTTCAGTTTTGTAGAGCCTTATAGATTATAAAGCCCTTTATACACATTATCTCCTTAGAATCTCAAACCAATCTTACAAGTGCAAGTATTACAATTTCCGTTTTATACATTAGACAACTGAGACCCTGAGAGGCTAGCAAAAATGTTGTTTGGCCTTCATTTTTGAAGAAGAGGGTGATGTCTTGACTTGTTCATAAATTGGATTTAAGTGAGACAGACTTTGTCAGCCTCACTCTTCCAGAGTCATTGAAATCCAAAGGTAAGACAAAGGTAAAGGTGATTGACAATAGCGTGGGATGAAGTGAATGACCTTGGCCTCTTTAAATCAAGATGGTTTCCCAGGCCTCAGTTTGTCTGAGGCAATGCCCATTCAATAATTAAAGGCCAGGCAAGAATTGAGATAAAAGATTTACCATCACAAAATTATCAATCTGGAAGGGGAAAATCCTCATTTTCTTGCCAAAACAGAAAATAATTATTGCTATTTCCATTTATTCTAAACCATCAAAATCTAAACAATAAGCCATCGAAGCTTGGGGGGCTATTATTGGCCATTCAATGATAACTCATATAACACTTATAAGTTTATTAAGTACTTCCTTTATGACCAGCCTGCAAAGAAGATAGCACAACAGGATTCAGAAAGATTAAATCACTTATCCAAGGTTCACAGTTATAAATGGCAGAACTGATGCCCCAAGCCAAGCTTCTGAACTCCAAAAACCCCAGGGCTCTTTCTATTGTACCATAATGTCTGAGGTGAGCTGCTCAAGAACACACAGTTGGTTAGTAATAGAGTTGGTAACAGAACTCATGTCTTTGGACTCCATGGGCTCTTTCCACTACTGTGTTTTGATCCATCATCACTTGAGCTGCTTAAAGCGCTGTAGCACTTTCTTGAGTCTAGAAAATCAACAAAACAAATCGAGCCTTGATCTGTAACATTTGCCTGTTTCCAAACTGTAATTGCTCACACTGAAAAGTTAACAACCCATTTTCTTGAGCCTGTATAAACTGGCTCGAACACCCTTCAGTATTGCGGTTTGCTTTTTTGTTTTTGTTTTTGTTTTTCTGCATTAAACCACATGTTCCTGTCCTCTTCCCCCATCCCATCCTTTCATTTCCTACTATAAATATGTACCAGTAATTTGCCAAACACATTATTGAGATAGTAGGACCATTGAAATATTGGTGGAAGGTTAGGTAGGTATTAAGTTGACCCTGCAGAAGAACTCACTTACAAAGCCAATGGTTAAAAAAAAAAAGGCAAAAACAAAAACAAACCAAAAAAAAAACCCACACAAAACAACAACAACAATCTGTTTGTTTTGTTTACCTCTGTACTTTGAGTTTAGACTACTGGACTCCACTTCCTTTTTAAAAACATATTAAATGTTTCTATAGGAAACCGGCAAGTATTTTTCTTCTGGCATTATATAATATTAAGCCTACATAGCTATGGCACTTAGGTTGTGAGTGGTTATATTTTTATTTTTTTAAGTGCTGAAGAATGTAATTTTGTTTGTACAACAGTTCTCAGGCTAAAAACTTAAAAAAAAAAAACTTTACCTACCAAGTTCTCTGATGAAATGCAGTTTCTTTTAGGTAGAAGCAGCAGCCATAAAGCAAAATGGATATTATATAACTCAAGATCAAGGACAAAGGCTATGATTTTATTCCTTCTGACACATGCTCTGGGAGACCTCTAAAGTCATTGGGAATGCTTTTGTCTTTTGTTTTGTTTTGTAATCCGGGTTAAATGACTTGCCTAGGGTCACACAGCCAGTAAGTGTCAAGTGTCTGAGGCCATATTTGAACTCAGGTCCTCCTCCCCTCCCCTCCCCTCCTCCTCCCCTCAACGTTTTTGTCTTAAATCTCATCTTATGGTCCTACATTCCTCGAAATCTTCCCAATCTACCTAATTTTTTCCCTTTCTGCTTCATGTGTCACTGCTCTTGATCATTTTACCTGAAAAATTCTGCTTATGGTCAGAGTTTAAAATGGGCAGCTCTGTATAACCTGAGCGGAAATGAAAGTATCTGCCCTCTTTTAAAAATATACATATTTTAGGGACCTCATAGCTTTTTCTTTAACTATCACTTTCCTCTAAGAGGGGGTGGCCTAGTGGATGGAGAGCAGGTCTCAGCGTTGTCTCTGAACACGTACAGGCTATCTTATTCTGGACAATTCGCTTAACTTCTCAATGATGACAACAACTCTTACAGACTAGAATTTGTCAATCTGTACCCACATTCATTAGCAGAGGAAGTTTTCTCATTGTGAGCTCCCAATAACAATGAAATGTTCCATCCCCCCTCATTTTATTTTACCACCCCTCTCCCTCCCCATTCCCCCCACCCAATGCCGAAGGGTAGGGAGAACAGCAGCAGCATTATGAACACAGTGTTAGGCACTTGGCAAACATTCAAGTCAAATTAAATCAGCAAACATTTATTAAGCTCAGCCTTGAAGAGCTAACCACATTCTGGACATCACCTAGAGGTCCTGTTCACATTTCAAACTTAACATGTCCCAAACAGAACTCATCTTCTTCTTTAAATCTCTACCCCTCCTCCAAACATCCCTTTTTCTGCTGAGAATATCACTATCATTCAGATCATCCAAGTTCCAAAATGAAGTTATATTTTTAATCTCTGAGCCAAAAGTGTCTGGTAAGTTTCAAGTTCCCTTGAATCTTCTGAGTTTTACCAAGGCTTCAAAACCACAATGCCATTTACAGTTGAAATGACATATTCTTCCATTCAATACTTCTGCATTTAATATCAAATCCTAAGTTACATCCCGGAGGGGAGAAAAGAAACTATTTTTCCTTCATTGGTTGAACAGATCCATCTTCTTCCTTTTGTATCCTTCACTTCTCAGCCAGCCAAGTGAACATGCTCCAAACACTAGGTAAAAAGGCTCTCCTCACAAAAGATTCAGATGTGAAATTAGTCATCACAATGCCCATTAAGAGCTACATAGGAAACTCCATGAAGATGGCTTTCAATGATACATGGGGTAAAGGAAATGAAAAAAGGAACTTACAGTTTCAACCTAATCAGAGCAGAACTGAAAGCCTACAAATAAAAATTGCAGATCCTTAATCATAACTCTCCCTCCACACAAGGCTTATGAAAGCACGCAATTCCCCTCAGAAGCAACCTTTTCAAACAGCACTTGAGTCATCTGGGCTTCCAATTCTTGATGTGGAGCTTAGGCAATGACCACAAAGGTAAGAACATCATAAAAACCATCACTTCTCCTGTCTTGTACACTGTGGACTGAAGATATTTCCCCAGCAATGGAGTTTGCTTCTGGGGTCCTCCATGTGACATAACACCCTCATGTGTTGTCAGCTGCTTTTGCTAATCAGATTGGTTCTGGTCTATTTTAGAAGTTAAAAAACAACAAAAACAACACCAAACTCATACTATCCTATTTGTTTTCAAAGTTCTATGCCAAATATTTAGGATTCTTAAATTTAAGGGTATTTTTTTTAATGATTTCTTGGATTTCTGGGGCCAGGGAGGGAGAAAAGAAATACATGAAATGTTTTTATTTATTTTTAATTTAATAATAATTTTTTAAATTCATAAGCATTTATTTTCTCTCCCATTCCTCCCAATGAAGATAAAAACAAAACTTTTGTAATAGATATGCATAGTCAAGCATAACAAATTCCCATATTGTCCACATCCAAAAGTATATGTCTCATTCTACATTTTCTATCCTTCACCTCTCTGTCGGGATTTAGGAATTAGGAATGTTCAGTCCTGTGGAATTATGTTTAGACACAATTTTTCAGCAGGGTGATGTCTTGACTTGCAAGTAAAAAGGGAGAGAATAATAATAATAATGTCTCACATCTATATAATACTTTGAGGTTGACAAAAGTGATTTCCATACATTATCTCATGAAAGGCTCACAACAACCCTATGAAAGCAGGAACTATTATTATCTATATTTTATGAATCAGAAAACTGAGGATCTGAGAGGTTCAATAAAATATCCAAAATCGCATTGTTAGTATCTCAGGACGATCTTCTTGACTTGGCCAAGGTCAGCAAACTGTTCACTGTACCACCCTTCCTTCTGCTACTAATGGTCAAGTCTAAAAGTGATTAATCCAGGTTGGAGCTTGAAAATTATCTGCTCTTGCTAAACGCATCAGCATTTCTACTTCCAATGTCTTGCTGAATCGGCAGAGTCGTAAAGCATCTATGATTCGTCACAAGAGGGCCCACAGGCAAGCAAATTTTGTAATTCCTTGAAGGGCCTAACCCTTCAGGCTGTAAAGTAGTAAAAGGTCAAATGTCTATGGCAGCCAGAATTTTGGAAGAAAAGGAACTGATCATCATTAACATTCAGCCTTCAGTATTCTCTTCAATCCCAACAATCAAGACTAGACCTCCAAGAATTAAACTGTAAAGTTCTTTTTATTATTATTATTGATGCTTTTTTCCCCCTAGCATTCATTTTTGGACATAGTCAGTTCTGTTTGACATTTATTTTGAAAATGCAAATTTGTTTCAACAAGACTGTTATATTAGGAAATGACATGATCGTTACTCTGATTTGGGGTTTGCGTATGTCAGATTTTTGTCCTCAAGAAACAGCAAGAATGCAGAAAACTTTGACCCTTTACAGAAACTGCCAAGGTGCCCACTTTCTGAAGCCCATTTCCACAAGCAAACTTCAGGTCTTTTTCAAGGTGTTGTATTTATTGTATATTTTCTGGTGCAGGAGTTGCTATGAGTGGAGGAAGGCTGATCCTCTTCCATACTTCCTCCCTTCCCACTCTTCCCACAGTTGGACCCTTTCACCTAACTTTGTCAGCCTGCTCATGGGAACCAGAGCACAAGGCCCAAGGCCACAGGCACGACCACTATTTATTATAGCATTTATGGTTCTCTTAACCATTTAACATGTATAAAATTATGCTACAATTTTTGTTAGATTCCTATCTTTTTTGAGCATCTCTCTCTCTCTCTCTCTCTCTCTCTCTCTCTCTCTCTCTCTCTCTCACACACACACACACACACACACACACACACACACACATATACACACACACAATTTTTGAGTGTTGTTCTTTTAATCCCACTTTCCCCATAAGACCTGTGGTTTTTATTGTACAATTTTGCATAGCTTAGTGATATTTAGGAACTCTTCGGCTGAGTTCCAGAAAAACAGACTATATCTTGGTGTCCTCTCCCCACTCACCCTAGCCCCAGCCTGGAATCGAGCCTCCTTTATAACAAGAAAAAAAAATTACACAAAACAAATAACTCCAGATGAGGAGTGAGCTATGTCTGATAGCGTTTGCTGTGTCTGACATTCTCCACCACGGTCTCAGGCCTCTTTGTGATGAGGGGGGATGGGTATTTCGTGATCTGTTCTCTAGGAATACTATCTTTTTTGTTTTTTGACAGTTATTCGGCATGTGGCTATCTTTTAGTGATTATCTCATTTCAATAGCTATAAACATTATGCCTATTCTTCTAGTTCTACTTATTTCCCT